GGTTGTCTTGGCCCCATCCAGGTTTCCTGTATATTCCAGGTTTTTTCTGGCCTCCCTGACTATCCAGCTATAGTATGAGTGATGGTAACGCCCAAATATATGTCTAACTATCATCTGGCAGCAGCTGTCTTGTATACAAATACAGCTGTGGTGGGAGTTCGTCTATGGGGAATACACATGCTGTGTATTTGTGGGGTTGAAGTGTTCCCAATGGTCAACTTCAGGCCCATAGACTCAGGTTATTTATGTAAATATAATCAGTCGAATCGTAGGTACTGTCCAAGGGGATTATCACCCCTTGGTTCAGGTCTATGTCAGAGGGGGTCGCTACCCTTCAGGCAGAGCTCCTATGGAGCATTCAGTCTCTCCTAGCAGGTCTTATATATACGCCTGCGGGATGAAAACATAAGGCTTAATGAGTCTTTGGGTTGACCAGAGTTTGAGAGTATAATGTATATAATTGGTTCACTTCACCCTGAACCCATTCTCCCACAATGATTTGGCGTGTGTTTTACTTATTTTCGGGCTGTTCTTTCACCTAACGTGCTTGAATTATTAAAGCAAATTTATATATAACAATATATAAATTCAAGTTAATGAGACAACACGTTTGTCACCTTCAAACCTAGTTATAATCTCATAGTAACAGGATAAGCTTGTCAACAGCCACAAAAAGGCGATATCCAATAATCCAAAGTTCAAATGTTTCTCCGGGCATGTGTAAAACCGAATGAAAGATCAACTGACCAATCATATGTCAACAACGAACACGCAGGACAAAGGTCAATGTGATAAGGGAGTTCACTTTGACAAATATTCCAATAAAGAGCAATGTCTTGTTACCGAGAAAGAAAATTTCCACCCACCCACCCGTTCATGTTCCTGGTGCATTGTATGGGTACTAACTAATGTTATGCAAGGACTGTTCAAGAACAATTTGTCAAGAAAGACTATCGAACTATCGAACAATTTTCACATGGAAAGTTATCGCTATGTAAATACTTAAATGTTCAAACAAATAAACTTTGGTTCGGGGTTGAAGTGTTCCCAATGGTCAACTTCAGGCCCATAGACTTTGGTTATTTATGTAAATATAATCAGTCGAATCGTAGGTACTGTCCAAGGGGATTATCACCCCTTGGTTCAGGTCTATGTCAGAGGGGGTCGCTACCCTTCAGGCAGAGCTCCTATGGAGCATTCAGTCTCTCCTAGCAGGTCTTATATATACGCCTGCGGGATGAAAACATAAGGCTTAATGAGTCTTTGGGTTGACCAGAGTTTGAGAGTATAATGTATATAATTGGTTCACTTCACCCTGAACCCATTCTCCCACAATGATTTGGCGTGTGTTTTACTTATTTTCGGGCTGTTCTTTCACCTAACGTGCTTGAATTATTAATTGGTTTCTATAATGCGTCAATGTGTGTATCAGGTCGATTCTGGAATATGCTTGTGAAGTTTTTCATTCAAGTCTTCCTACATATCTGTCCGACGATTTAGAACGAGTACAAAGACGTGCAATGAGGATAATTTTTCCTGGAACGAGGTATAAGGAAGCCTTGGAACAGGGACATTTACAATCACTTTATGACAGACGAGAATATTCATGTATAAAGCTTTTTGAACAAATTGAACAAGATCCAAGTCATAAATTAAAGAATCTCTTACCTAGTTTAAATACGTCTTTTGACAGCCTTCGAACCGTAAAAAAGTATAAACTTCCTTTAATCAAAACAGACCGTTTTAAAAATTCTTTTATACCTAGTCAAGCAGCGAAAGTGACGTTGTAGTTTTTAGCGTAGTAATAGTTTAAGCAACAATGAATTGTAAATAACTTTATATCAATTATTTTATGTTTAAATACTTTATTGGGTAAATATAATAATTATTTACAAAAGACGTACTAATACTATGCATGCAAAGAACAAATATTACCCAAATGGAAGAGGTGCGAACGGAACGTAAATAATTTGCGCTATCCATGCAAGGCACCTTTCCAACAGAATACATGTAAAATAGTTTACTATAAATACTAATAACAAGTTTATACAACAAGACAATTAACTCCTATGACAAGAACAGTCACGTGACATAGACCAAGTACATAACAAGTTTACATCGAACACGGTCGATACTAACATAGAATAATAATTAAAGAGGTAGTATTTAAATGTTTTGACACTAGAAAATGTATTTGGTGGAGCTACTTTACAAACACTGGTTTTACACAATGGAGTCTTGAGCAACAGGTTGGGATTACGACATAGACGGGAGTGGTTATGGGTTACAAACGAGACATAGTCATGAACATTGAGATTGGAAATACCATAAAGAGCCTTGTGGAAGAACATTAGATCTTTATCTCTCTATCATAACACAAAGGTAGTAAGTTCAGATCAACGAGACGCTCATTGTAGCTGGAATCACCCTTTCTAGCTTTCAACATTCATCTAGTGGCTCGTCTCTGCACGCGAAAGGGATGAAGCAACTCGTCAGTTGATCCAGAACGCACAACAATTGACATACCGTAACGAAATAAATAATCTCGCAGCGAAAAAGGCACAACGATTACCTTTAGTACGCCAACTTCGTCTATTCAAGGACAAGTTTGGCCTTCTGCGCTCTGGTGGGAGAATACACAACGCGCCCCTCGCAGAATCAACGAAATTCCCAATACTTCTACCGCCGAGAAACGACTTCACGAAACTCGTAATCGTCGAAACTCATGTTCGCCAATTACACTCGGGTGTGAACGCGACACTAACAGCGCTACGTCAACAATATTGGATTCCTTCCGGACGACAACTCGTGAAGAAGATCATCAATAAATGTGTCACCTGCAGGAAGATATGCGGAAGCTCGTATAATCCCCCCGATCCACCACCATTGCCGAAAGCAAGACTTCAACAAACACGATTATTTGAAATCACAGGTGTTGATTTCACTGGAGCATTGTACGTAAAAGAATCGGGAACAGAAAATAAAGCATACATTTGTCTCTTTACGTGCGCCACCACAAGAGCTGTACATCTCGAAATTGTGTCGGACATGTCTGTACCAACGTTTATTCTTGCATTCCGTAGATTTGTTGCTCGGAAATCACTACCCAAGTTAATGATGACAGACAATGCTTCTACATACTTGTCGGCAGCGGAAGAACTGAAGAAATTGTTTGAATCACCCATACTGAAAGAGACACTCATTAGACAGAATGTACAATGGCAATTCATTCCAAAGAGAGCACCGTGGTTCGGCGGCTTTTGGGAGAGATTGATAGGACTGACGAAAACAGCTTTAAAGAAAGTACTTGGAAGAGCGTCAGTGAACTTAGTGATGCTACAAACTCTCGTGGTGGAAATCGAAGCCATTTTAAACGATAGACTATTGACATACGTGTTGTCAGACGTGAAGGACCAACAACCACTTACACCATCGCACCTCTTATATGGCAAAAGAATAACAGCCATACCAAATGAGTCCCTAGAGGATGATGAGTTGATTGATCCGAACTTCAACGAAAATGTGGAAATCGAAAGAAACGCCAAGAGACTAGTACTACTCCTACAACACTTTGAGCAACGTTGCAGACAAGAGTATCTCGCATCCTTGCGAGAATTCCATAAGAATACTGGTACAGAAAAGGAAACTATCAAAGTAGGAGACGTTGTACAAGTCCATGATGATAAATCTCGATTAACATGGAGATTAGCAGTGGTCGAAAGTTTAATTCGAGGACGGGATGGACATGTACGAGCTGCTAACATTCGAACAGCATCCGGAAAGACTAATAGACCCATAACGAAACTTTATCCTCTAGAAGTAGCAGCTAAAACTGAAGAACCAGGCCTCGTAGACAAGGATTGTGTCCAACAAGAAAATGCAGCAACCGAAATTACTCCACGACCGAAACGGACAGCCGCGTGTAAAGCAGTTGAACAAATCAGGAGATGGACCCGAGAACTTCGCGTGCCCCTGGAGGATGTCGTAAATAAGTAGACAAACATTATACATTGATAACATGAAGTATTGACTGTTTTCGCGCCCTTTTCATGGACGTCATGTTGTTGTTATTCCACGTTTTATATTATCGAAAGAACCTGTATTAATCGTAACAATATACCAATAAATACTTGAAAAAAATCAATGGGCAGAAATATAACGGCATAACGCTAAACAGACACATTTATATACTGAAAGAACGCTTCGGATTAACAGAGATTCAACCGCCTAAATATACAAGCCAAATTTCAAGATTTTGCTTGTATTTTTCAGTTACGGTTTGCTTGTATAATTCAGTAACGTACTCAATCTCTCAATCCGAAGCTTTGTGTTGTTATCATTTATTGTGTGGAAAGTTTGTATCGCGCGGCGGAGATATCGGCCGGGCAATTTTGATGCTTTCTATGTATTTACTATTAAATTTTCGAAATCTCCGGCGCACAATTTTCAAACACTGACACGGAGCGTTTGAGATTACATTTATATTCTGTTTATTAATATATTCTAATATTCATAAGCTTACCTGACTGGAATGTGGTTCAACGAGCGCGCTCTTTCAGCGTTTCGAATTGTAATTTCGAAAAATCACACACAAGTGCCTCGCGATCTTTCAGGCGATCGGCCTTAACTTTGCTCCCGATGGAATCCTCACATAGCACTTTAGTCGACCTAGCTTTTCGTCGAGAGAAATAGCTATAATACTTGGCATTACCGGTAACAGAAGACCGTCATGAGAAGACCCCAAATGCACGAGAGCGTTCCTACTATATATGGTATAGATGGCCTTATATGTATATACAGTATGTAATATGAACTGTGTAGAATCAATCACAACATACACACTACAGACGACTCTCAAATATATATACAATACTATTTTGAATTATTATTTACTGAGTTGTTGACTTTTTCACTTCTCAGTTATAAACTCAGAGCATAGATTGACCATGGATTATGTTAATTTATTTAACGGGTATGAGCAACAAAAAATGTATTGCTTCATCTGAAAGAGCATGAAAAAATAAGCCGATTGGCCGTTTAATGCTCTATTCTATCTCATCTAGTTCCGAAGTTATACGCAAAAATGTGCAAAATATAAATTGCTGATTCAGCACAACGTGTGACGTCATTAGCTGGGTAAGGATGTTTAATGAATACTAAACTGAAGCATAGCTCAGTTCACGGTGGGCATAAAATACAGCAAATTCGGCCACGTACAAATAACTTTCTGTCGTTAGTTTGGAATATCACGAAACTTCCTCACAGAATAGAACTTGCCATTCCTAAAAATTCTATCGTTTTTTATTTTCGATTTTGTTACATTTTGGCGGGAAAATGACGTGCCAACTTTGGCACCAAAAAATGAAACACGTGCTAAGAACATGCTGCTAACTTTTTTGAAGAGATTGTCCTATAAGGATCTCAAAACTGTAAAAACATTAAAATTACAACAAGGCAGTGCGAAGATATGGCGATTCAAAGTTCGAGAAAAATCTATTTTTGGTAACAAAAATGGCGGATTTTTCAGAATGTTAAGCCCCATATCTTTGCACTGCTTTGGCGTATTTTCAATGTTTTTACAGTTCTGAGGTCCTTATATAGGATTATCTCTTCAAAAAAGTTCCTAGCATGTTCTTAGCTCGTGTTTAATTTTTTGACGCCAAAGTTGGCACGTCATTTTCCCGCCAAAATGTAACAAAATCGAAAAACAAAAACGATAGGATTTCTAGGAGTGGCAAGTTCTATCCTGTGCGGAAGTTTCGTGATATTCCAAACTAACGACAGAAAGTTATTTAATTGTACTTGGCCGAATTTGCTGTCTTTTGTGCCCACCGTGGTTATTATGGGCCCAAATCAAATGAAATTTTGGATACTGATTGTACATGATGAGACGCATTGAAAAACACTTCTAATTTTGTTGCCAAGGTAACAATATCGTTCCCAGGCCCCTTGCGCCAATTTTATAAAACAGCTTTATTCATGGTACTTATAAGAATAAAATAATATCAGAAGTATGTGTACCATACGCATACCTATGCATGCCAAAAGTTTACTTGCATGATAATAATTCGAAAATGATATACACATAGATAAATGCAACTAGTTATTCAAAATCAGTGTAAGGGGCCTGGGAACGACTGTGTTACCTTGACAACAAAATTAGTGTGTCTCGTCATGTACTATCTGTATGCAAAATTTCATTTGATTTGAGCGAATAATAACTGAGCTATGCTTCAGTTTACTATTCAATAAACATACTTACCCAACTAATGACGTCACACGTTGTGCTGAATCAGCAATTTATATTTTGCACATTTTTGCATATAACTTCGGAACAAGATGAGATCAACAGGTGGGCAATTTGTCTGAGCATGCGCGAAGAAAATCAATATGGCGACATATTTCGTGAATTTATCTGGTTTTAAAGCTGATAAAACAACATTTTAATGAACGAAAACTTTGTAATATTTAGTGGAAAACATTAAGCTATGCATTCCAAAGGTTTTATATTGAAAATAAGTACTTTTGCTTTATTTTATTGCTTTTTACGCTTTGAAAACAGGCAAGCTCATTTTTTTGCAAAAATCTAATCTAATATTTTACCCATCATTTGTTTAATCTGAACAGAAATAGATAGAACACTTGGCTATATAAGTTACAAAGGTATTGTTAGCTGATCTGAAAGATTTCAGTATTCCTGGTACACATTTTAACAAAGAATGAAATGTAATTTCAAAAATTAAATATGCATATCAAAAACCATAGTTTTTATTAG